AAATTTCTTATCATTTTGATGATTCCAGAACCTTGCAGATGCTAGATGCTAGATGATCAACCTTTTCTGATCGATTCCACAACGTTTCTTTCACAATGCAATCGCATGACCATAACTGGTCTTTACCTTTAACCTACTAAGGCCGGGCCATTATGCCCCCCCCCCTCCACGGTTTTTCTGATTGTTCGAAAACGCATATGGATGGCGCCCCGCCGCTCGCAGACTCTTTTCTTTCGAGTCCTGCGCATCGTTTAAAATAATTTTTTTGAAAATCGGACCTACAGTTACAAGGTCACGTGATCTTTTGCCTTTGCATGTCAGCCCGAAAATCGCTCATTTTCGTGATTTGTGTACAACACATATGGAAATATCATTTTTCTAAAAAAAGATCAAACATTGGTTATTGGGTCTTGTTTAAAGTTTAGGTGGTTGTTTTGGGAGTCAAAATAGTTGAATTGTAGTTAGAAATGAAATAAAACAACAAAAGTTAAAGCCAATGAAATACATAAGAATTATCAAAACAAGAGATAACATAAGGAATAAGCTGGCTCTTCCAAATTTGTTGCCGTATTATTATTCCTCATGGTCTAATGAATATATGTAGTGAAAAGGAATGCTTAAATATGAATAATATATGATTTATGGGTAAAAATGTGATTTATGACCTTATTTGCATAAATTACCATAAATATGCAAATAAGCAAATTTTTCAAAAAAATTGAAATTATCATAGTATTCTATACACTGCACTTGACACGCGTGCAAATTTACACGGAGATCGGCCGTTTCACGGCCGAGATCTTAAGGGGGGGCATATTGCCCCCCGGCCGTACTAAGAACTCAAATAGCCCTGCCTTTTTAGCAAAGGATTTTTTAAAGGCCTGTTTTATGTCTTATTTTCATGGAAAAACGGTTTGAAAAATTCAAAATTGGTTGTGAGAATTTACTGTATGAGGGTGTCACACTATTGCCTCGAAGAAAACCATCAATATTTATGTGGTTCAAGAATTTGTTCAGGATTTGTTGCATGTTAGAGGGTTAGTACAGCAGAAGGAATAACATAAGTAAAATTTCATACAAAAATTACGTAGTTTTTTCATCAAGCTTCAACGATGTTACCGAGTCACTTTAAGATTAGAGAAACAAATAAGAGAAAGAGAAGGAGAGAGAAGAGAAAAAGGAAACAAACAACGAACATGGTATTAAAAACAAGCGGTAGATAAAAGAACGAATTGAAGACATTGTATCAATGTTATCTTGCTCCTTTAAAGTACTAGGTCCCATTTGCCGGCCCCAAAAAATGAAAAGGTTAAAATGAACGGCATTTGAAAGACGATATATACTAATTTAGAACTTCCCTAAAAAAAAGAGGGCTTGAAAATGTCTTTAAGTGGGAAAATAACGACTATTAGTTGTTAAATCAACTGAGGAGCTATAGAGCCAGTAAGTAATAGTCTGATTTTTCAGACCATTGTCCCGAATGGTCGTACGTTTTATGCTGCGCAAAGATTAAATCAGTTTAATTTTGGCCAACATTACAAGAAGTGGGTATGATGTAAAAAAAATGCTCATGTACCCTTTACAGCTCATTTTATGTGTGGTATTACCAAAGATGAAAAAAGCCAGTCAGTCACTCAATAGTGTCTGACAGTGAAGTCTAGCAAGTGAACGGGTTTCCTTGCCTAATTTGAATATTAGGACACTGCTCAAGTTTAAATTTCACAGATATGACATACATAACATATTCATAATTCCTGCAAAGTTCTACAGAATTTGATGTTGGCTGCAAAAAGAACATATAATATCTTTAAGATTTTTCTTTCGTTTTCCTTTTATTCTTGTTTCTTCTTTTTCTTTAATTGTTTTTCTTTCTTTTAAAATATATATATATATATATATATATATTTTAAAAGCTATACAGCTCTTCGTGGTCGACAGCCAACAGCAATGAAGCAGAGTACACGCAGTTTCCTGGGATTATATCGCTCGAGCAGACGATTTCTTTCAATTGTTGAACCTTTACAAAATGTCTACTCAAGTATATATTGGGGTGCAATATTTAATAAAAGGCGTGTGAAACTTAAATACAAGCTAGCAAAGCACTGGGATTATGCTGTTAATATTTTTGTTTATATTAAATTATTGTTAAATTCATCAGCCATATCCTAATCAGGGGCGCAAACATTACGATATCCTGAAACAACATTTGCAAGGTGGAACGAATGAGCTTTAGAGACTTTTGCATTTCAAGCACTCAAAAAAATAATGCACCTTACGCTGCATATTGGGACGCACTGGCGTACTGGTGGGGGGGGGGGGGGCTTGGGGGCGCCAGCCCCCCCCCCCCCCAAATAAAATTGAACCATGACTTATTTTCACAAGTAATGTATAAATGTTCGTGATATCACATGATTTTCAACAAAATGCTTATTATTTCTTGCAAACTGACCCATTTCCAAATAGCCAGGAAGATGTTTATTTATAGTCACTAAGGGCCTTATAGTGACCACTAACAGTTTTACTAATTCCTTTCCAGAAGTTACTGTGCAAAGCACTGCCGGGAGATAACATGCTACCCACCACTCGGGCTGAGCATGCACAGATTTGCGAAAGAGCGTTCCATACTTACATCATGTAACACTGCACATATACCGTTAAGTGGCCCAGTGGGGGAAAATTAAATTCAGACAAGATTAAGAGTAGAGAACGGTACAACGAATCATCTTCTTTCTCTAATAATTTAATGTAACGGCAAAGCTTCAGCGCTTTGCGCGGGAGGGGGGGGGGGGAAACTAATTTCAGACTATAGGATTAAGAGTCGAGAAAGTACGACGAATCGTCTTAATCTTTCTCTAATTATAATGAAACGCGAAAATGATTTCAGACAAGGATTAAGAGTAATAATTAAATGAAACGACAAAGCTTCCGCGCTTCGCGTGGAAGGGGAGAAACTGAATTCAGACAAGAACACGATACAACGAATCGTCTTCTTTCTCTAATAATTCAATGAAACTTGAAAGCTTCCTCGTTTCGCGCGGGATGGGCAAAAATGAATTCAGACAAGGATTAATAGTAATAATTTATTGAAACGTCAAAGCTTCCGCGCTTTGCGCGAAAGGGGGGGGGGGACGGAATTCAGACAAGGATTAAGAGTCGAGAACGGTTCAACGGTTCAATGAATCGTCTTCTTTCTCTATAAATTTAATGAAATGTGACAGCTTCCGCGCTTCGCGCATGGTGGGCGAAAGTGAAATCAAACAAGGATTAAGAGTAATAATGTGTTGGAACGTCAAAGCTTCCGCGCTTAGCGCGGGAGGGGGGGGGGGGGAAACTGAATTCAGACAAGGATTAAGAGTCGGGACCGGTACAATGAATCGTCTTCTTTCTCTAATAATTAAATGAAACGTCATATAGCTTCCGCGCTTTGCGCGGGAGGGGCGAAACAAGCTTTAAGAGTCGAGAACAGTACAACGGATCGTTTTCTTTCTCTAATAATTTAATGAAGTGTCAAAGCTTCCGGACCGGACCACCGTCTTTGTGCATTGTGCGGCATCAAAGCATAATTTATACAACGTCTCACGACGTGACAGATCACTTTTCTCTAACTTCTAACCAATCAGAAGGCCTCTTTTTTCCATGAAGTGCCGGTGAATGCGCCAAATGTGGTTCTCAAATCACAAAAGATACCTACTCTTGGAAGGGGTAGGAGAAAGCAATATTTTACGTCATATTACTCCAGGAAGTGCCTGAAAATGCGTCTTATTTGGTTCTAAAATTGCAAATGCTTCTTACTCTGGGAGGGGGCCAGAACCCCCTCCTAGACCCACCCCCTGCTTGGTCGTTCCGGTCCCTCGCCGTTAAAGCCTCGTTCTGTCGCTTCATCGTTTTACATATATTTCACCCCATGCCATTTTGTGCCCCCCCCCCCCCCGGTAAGAAATTCCTGGATCCGCCACTGATGCCCATACCCCTTGAGCTTCGGGGGCTCCGCCCCTTGAACCCCGCCGGGGCTTTGCACCTAGACCCCAGTTTGAGAAACGTTCAGCGGGGCCTGCATGTTAGAGTAGGGTGATTCGGATTTTTTTTTTGTCAGCCCCCCCCCCCAAACGTTTTTGCTCATTACGCCACTGTTGGGACGTATAGGTTCTTTTTCTAACACCCATTTCTTCGAAAAAGGTGCGATGCGCCATCAGGGTCCAGTTTCAGAGGTTGATGGACACGGGTGAGTAGCACTTGTGTAAATGAGTGACCCCCCCCCCCGGAACTCCCCCTTCCCCCGGTAGTTCCCTTCCCCATTTATTACCCCACCTTGTTCAATCGCATTTCGATTTCACCCACTTCAGCTCCAACTTTAATGGATGAGGACCGGAGGGGTCCGCTCATTTCATATTTAGACCGCTCTCGACTGCCATGGACTGCTCACGTTTTGTTTGCTTTATTTGGGGGGGGGGGGGTTTTAATTAAAAAAAAAAAAATTGTTATATAATTTAATATAATTTAAATAATATCCGTTTGTGTTTTAATTTGGGAAAGAGGGTTATTATAAAGAAAAGACTTTTTTTTTCATTCAAACTAATTGAGTTGTGTATATCGTGTATATATGTTATGTAAAGTATTTTGAAATAATTTGTATTTTGTATGATGTACATGTACATGTATTTGGTTCCCCTGGGAACCAAATATTTTTGCAAGCATTGCTTCTTTTTGGTTCCCCAATATTTCACGTTATGTTAATTACAAACAAATTGTTGATTATGTAATATTTTATTGTAGTTTAGTCTTCAATTTATTCCTTTAATTGTATTTAGTTTTTTAATGTATTGTTTGTTAGACCCTACTTGTTCAAATTTATTCGTGAATTATGGAAATAAATTCAAATCAAATCAAATCAAATGTTTATGTAATGAATGACGACAATAAAAAATACTACAAAACAAAAAAAATTACGCTTTGTTCCGCTAAGACATAATAGAGGGCGCGCTCGCGCTACAGCATAAATTACGAAATAATTGAACGTTATTTCCGGTCATTTGTTGTGGCAAGTTTCAATCATTCGAGATATCCTACATTTTCAGGCCTCTTCCGGCTTCCCATGCTGATGCATGAGGTACGTTATCTTTCATTTCCTTAGAATAATAATTTTACTTGAAAATTGTAATTCGTAGATAGGTAGAACAAGGTGTATGATGCATGAAATAAGGATATTACAAAGTCTGAGTCTGAGTGACTCTTCGCCGGGTTCGCCGGCTGCTTGGCTTGCTTGGCTGTTTGTCGGAGGTGCCCGGTGGGGTCACTCCCCCGCAGAGGGTGACGCGTGTATGACCGTTACCACAAATGCAAATAACCCCTTTTGCGGTCAATTTCCACTCCAGCAAATCATAGAGAGTCAACACTAATGCTAGCAATCCACTACGTGTTAATTATATAGTCTAGGCAGCATTTGAATACAATAATAGTCAATACCAGAGTCAGAGACTGAGACTGAGAGATGCCAAGTTCAAGATGCAACCTCTTGCCCCTCTGCCTCCCTTGCATATAATGAGAATTATTATTAAAGAGTATGAGTAAAAGAAGATAGACCAAGAAGATAGACCTGGAAGCTCGACTGCTGTCTCAGCATTCTTCCAGTATTTGCGGTAAAGGTAAAGGTAAACTGCAATGCGTGACATTTGCATCATGAATCAGCGCGCGAGCGTGCAGGCGAGGGTATAACACACGTATAAGGTATAGACCTAGCGTTTTTTCAAAATCTAGCGCAAAAAAAATTGTATTTTACTGCTATTTAGGTGTCATCAATCGTCACTAAAGTAGGGTAGCAATTTTCTGCCTAGAATTCGGTCACACGATTTGTGAGTGGTATCTCCGTTGACAAGGAGCAAAGCGTATTTGCGCACTATTTTCACACAATTGCGCAACAAAGCACTGGATGTCAATTCGTTGACCGAATACTGGGAGAGCGATACCGATACCGTATCGGATAAATACCTCTTGCACATAGGCAAGATGTAATCTCAGCGGAACAACTGTCGATATCAGGGACGAAAGCTTTTGAGTTTTGCGCAACGCCGGCTGCAACGACTCTTGACTATTTGACTTTTGTGAAAAGTGAAATTTTCAGGCTCAGTGTTTTGCTGGTGTTTTGCTGGCAATCTTGCTTCTAGACTACTACTAAGCTAAGCCAAGGTGTTTGAACGGTTTTCAATGTTCCCTTTTGGATTGTTTTTCACCATTATGGTTGGATAATTGAAAAAAATCCACTACTAAGAAAAACACATTTCAAATTTCAATCAAGGCATTTCCATCCAAAGATACAGGCCCCCAAAATCTAGGCAATATATTCATCCAAAAGTCCAAATTTTTTTCCATTCTGACAAAAATTGGTACACGCCGAGTTATAATTTTTGCTCAACAGCTGCATAGCACGATATGCAAAGCGTGGAGGGGAGGGTATTTTCAAACTGTAACTGCTGTTTCCTGTTTTTCTTTATTTAGATCTAATTGTCTGATTCATAAATCAGTCATAAGAAAGTATAGATAGTTCTTTCTTATATAAATTGTCATTACGTATTTCAAATGGCGAAATTTTAGTATGAAAGTATGATGCACACATGTTACACTTGCAATTACAATGAAGGATAACAGACCAATGATAGTTGGTTAAAAACGATTAATATCTGATATTCTTTCATTTTCTTGTTGCAGAGATCCACCAACTTCTTCATTGTCGTGATCTAACAAAATCCCACCATGGTAAGAATGTGAACTGTACACTTGACATTTTATTTACTACTTGTAGAGTGCATTCATCAATTCATTGTGTGTGTAATTGGGTTTTTACAGTCGTGTATCAATCAGATGATTATTTATGTCTGGGTACTGACTTTTAACATCACCATCCAAAAGATGTGACTCAGTTTCAAGCCTTCGTCCTTGGCTGAATCAGTTTGTAACTTCCATTATTAGCTGGATTACAGGCCCACGCAACAACGCCCTGTCATTTTAATGAGTCTCCATGTATGTGTCTTGAGACACAAGCTGATACCCTTGTTCTATTTCCATTATTACAGATAAAGCTTTATCTATGCAATCTTTATGCAATGATGTTGCATTAATAATATTCAGATTGATATTCTGGGGGGCATTTCACAAAACTTGTCATCAGTAACAAATGACATTTTTTGTTATAAGCTACTGAAATCCTTGCTTCTGATTGGTTATCAGCAGATTTGTCACTGATTTTTGTCATTCGTCATTGAAAAAAGGCTTTGTAAAAAGGCCCTCCAGATCATTCAAAGCTAAGTTGAAATATTTAAAAAGGGGTCCAGCTGTGTATATCTAAATTGGAGAGGGGGTGGGGGGCAGAGTTTAAATTGGAGAGCTCATGTGTACAAAATAATAATTGTTTCTTGGTAACGCTCATGCCTGTCAGACTTCTACCTCCTGTTACTGCAGTTGTGAGAAGGGACAGGTACTAGTACTACTATAAAAATATACAGTCAAACCTGTTTATAACGACCGTGCAAGGGAAACACAAAAAATAGCATTTGTAGACAGGTGGTCTTTGTAGACAGGTTCCTTTGGTACATGATTCAAAGAGAAACCTTTTTCAAGGGAACAACAAATGTGGCCTCTGTAGACAGGTGGGCTTTGTAGACAGGTGGTCACTAAAGCAGGTTTGACTGTATTTAAGTTCAATATTGAATTGGATACTACCGGTAATCATGCAGTTCTTGAGGAAAATCAGGAAAATTGTATTCATGTGTATAATTTTGTTTGTTTGTTTTGTTTTGCTTTGTTTATTTTTTCAGCCTCTGCTAGGTCCTCAGCTGGTGTTTACCCTGGTCATGTCCAGTATCATGCAGAAGGTCATTGTACCCTATCACTCCTTTGCTCAATGGCTCCTTGCTAGAGGGTAAGTACTTAGCTAAGCTCCCCCCCCCCCCCCCCCCCCCCTCTTTCAAGAAAATAGGATAATTTGCATGATAATATAGAGATATCGACTGCTTTGAGAAACTGTCTGTTTATCTTCGCTTTTAAAAATGATTTAGGAATCGCAGACAAAAAGCACCGTATGGTGTCCGCGCTCGCACAAAGAAAATTTTAACACATAAACTAATGGGGATGTGTGCACAATTGATTTATGTGGCCTGTTACCCGGGGCAATGGATATCACTCATGAACTATTGGCCATTTGCTTGTCTCTTTAAGGGAATATCCAAAATCCCGACTGCAATTTCGACTAATCAGATGGCTAGATTTCTAAAGAGAGGGATATATAATCATCTGTATAGTGCCTTTTCCACTGGATTCTAGGTGCTTTTGGATCTCATCCCACAGTCCATACCATTATTAGAATAAATTGAGTGATAAATTCAGTGCACCTAATAAGTGGTGACTGCAGTGTAACCTGCATTTAGATATCCATGAAGTTACAATGAGCAGTTGTGGGAGGGGGAGGGATATGTTGATGGAGAGCCATTATCTATTAAAACTCTCAAGTGCAGCAGTTACAGATTTGTATGACTAATATAGAATATCTGATTGTCAATCAAACAGTATAAGCATTGAAAAGAATTCATGATGTTGATTAAAGATCCAAATAAATCAATTCAATTCAATTCAATTCAATGTAATCTTATTTTAGATTCAAGTACTAACCCAGTGATTGGTTCTTATTGGCAAGCTTTGCAAGAATTTGTTATCTTGACCTCCCTTAATTTGACTGTTAGGCCTTTAAAAAAAAAGATGTTGTATTGCCCTTTGCGACCGACCCAAATATCTTGAAATCTACGGTCAGCTTTTTAAAAAAGGTTGTTGTTTTTTTTGACAGTTTTTTAGAAGAATTTTTTTCAAGCATTCAAAACTGAAAGAGGGAGTAAACAACAACAACAAAATTTTTAAAAGAAAAGATTTCCGACCGACCAACCCATGTTTTGACACCTAAAGGGCAATACAACACCTTTTTTTAAAGGCCTTAAAGGCCCACTGCACTACTGGTAGCTACTTGCGCCCTCTATATAACAAACAATGCCTAATCGGTGACCATTGGTCCCCCATGATCCTCTTTTTTTTATGTTGAGTGAGAGCTGAGTTGATGAGATAACCACCTGTCCAGTGACCTTGTAGAGCGGTTTAATCCCTCCTGTAAACTACGGCAGATAAGCTTTAAAGGGACTGGGTAACATTGTTCAGATGAGAGATAGTGGTGCTAAGGTAGTGACTTCAATGCTAGATGTACAATTAAAGAGAATCTGAAAATTTGAGTGAAAACGGACCATTATTAATGGTACAATGGTACAAATTTGGAGCACTGATCTGATTGATTCCTTGATTCTCCCAACTATATTATTACAATTAATTACATTTTAGGCGAATGGAAATCGTCACAAAGCAATAAAATGGCTCTACATTCCATTTCAGACATTTAAGTGTTGACAGATTTTTTTTATAGCCTGTTTTATGTCTTTTTTTACATGGAAAAACGGTTGGGAAAATTCAAGAATGGTTGGGAGAATTTACTGTTAATCACTGTTAGAGGGTGTCGTACATCGACGCCTTCAAAGAAAACCATAGATATCTTCGTGGTTGGAGAATTTTTTCAGGATTTTTTTGCATGTTAGAGGGTTAGTACAGTAGAAGGAATATAGTAAGTAACATTTTATACAAAAGTTAAGCAATTTTTTTCATCAACCTTCAACAATGTTACCAAGTCACTTTAAGTTCATATGATCTTTCTACACAGAAATCTGAAGTACTTCAATTATCCATCCGACGATGACCTGAAGAAAGCTGCAGGGATTATCCAGAGTAGAGGAAGACATAAGAGAAACAGGTATTCCAAGAAATTTGGATAGATCATCCTCTAGCCATTTTGTGATAAAAATGCTTATTCCAATGTACGAATGTTTGATGTATCCATAGATATCCTACCTCTCCAATGTGATACAGTACAGGTTTGATCAAATATTCTGATCATCTGGGGGTTGTTTCACAAAGATCCTACGTTGCACTTACATGTACATTGTAACAATTATGGAAAGCTGTTAGCATCTTTGAAAATATTTTGTAAGATAGTTAAAAGGCATAAAATGTTGATTCAAATAATTCATATTTTCTATTTTCAAGGAGATTTCATGTTTTTGATGTGGAATTTATGAAAAGTCCAAAACTTGAATTTCTGCTTTTGAATATATTTCATTTTAAGGCTACAGATGGCTCTTCCTAATTTTTAAGTCCAACTTAGAGTTAAGTTCTACTTAGGATCTTTGTGAAACACCCCCAGGTTTGATCATGTTCTGACTGGGAAAAAAAAAAAGTTAAGTTGTTTGCAGATGACAGCCCACACATGTCAGATTTGCATGATTTCACTCTATGCATTTAAAAAAATACATATTGAAAGAATGCCTCAATATGATAATTTCTTTATAGAAACCCAAAAAATATTTTGTGATCACATCTAAGCAGTAAATGAAACAAGATATGTTAAAGGCCCACTGCACTACTGGTAGCTACTTGCGCCCTCTATATAACAAACAATGCATAATCGGTGACCATTGGTCCCCCATGATTCTCTTTTTCTTATATTAACTGAGAGCTGAGTTGATGAGATAACCACCTGTCCAGTGACCTTGCAGAGCAGTCTAATCCCTCCTGTAAAGTATGGCAGATTAGCTTTAAATATAATTCATCCTTTTAAAAACAACAGACCCGAAAACTTCAACAAGAGGAACGGTGCTGCCTTGGGCGACCAGACTTTCACCGTGCCCAAGAACATTGACATAGACCTCGGCAGTGAGACCCTCCAGCCGTCCCACCTACTCACCATCCGCTACTACGGAGAGTTCAAATGGCTTCTAGATTTCACTGTCATGGCGACGGTGGTGTACACGGTGACTGAAGCATATTATGCTCTGGTCGACACCAAGGGCGATCTTAATCTGAGTCTCATTTGGATGGTCATGGGTCTTCTCTTCACGTTGTATCCTTTTGAACATCTGTAGAAACTGGTTATTATTGTGACAGAATCAGTGGAACTAAAAAAATCAAGGATTGTCATATACATGTAAGCACTTTGGTTCTAGCATACATTTTGAAGCAAGAAGAACATTGGAATTAAAGTTGCTTTTCACAGAGATTCACGACTAACTTTGTGAGTCATGAATTCAATTGAGATTAAAATTTAAGTACATCTATGGCTATAGTTGGTTTATTATTATTTTGTAATACTTAAAGGTGACCTCATATTCATATCCTTCTAATTATTTCTGAAGGGAGGCAAGATTAATACCAGGACTAGCTTTCATTATTAGATATAAAACTTTTCACATCCTGAAAAAATATTGAAGTCCAATACGCCGTTTCAAATTTGTAAGCAAAAGTCTAAAGGGCGTACTTGTAAAGCAGTATTTCTACTGAATATACCTACCATGTATTTTAAATGAGACATTAATAATTGAATGTACATTACTTGTCCTTGACGAATGCCCATCAGACATGTGCTGTTCTCGCTGACTTCTCTCTACTTCAAGTCCGATGATGCCGGGGAGATGGTCCTGTGTGTTACCTTTGGTTTCTTATTCCTGATAGTAGCCATGGCGGTCATTGTGATTGATGAAAACTACCTGGAGTTTGGAGTGGACGATGGTAAGTATCGGTCAAGTCCAGGCGTTCTGTCCCATGCATGTAATAATAACAGCCAAAAAATACACGGGGGCGGAGGGCGGATTCGCCCCGAAAACACAATAAACAGCCCCCGAAATAGGCTCAAAATCCGATTTCGGGGGCGACATCAAAAAGTGAAATGATCTCAAATCGCCCCCGAAACGATTACGAGCGGCCGTGCGCTCTCTTCTAGCTTCGTATTCATTGAGTGCATTTCTTGGTCCGCGCGCTGAATCTCTGTGTAAAATTGTATACACAAAAATTAATCGTAAAAAAACTCGAACAATACTCCATACAGTTACCTGGCTTACCATGTCGCACAGAAGTATGCCAAAACACGTACATTTTCCCAGTTGCGAGATCAAGACGGAGCGTAGGGCTCGAGTTTTTGATGGTCGATTTTGTTGTGGTAGATCATATTAGCTAAATCTAGACCTACACATCGCGAAACTGCAATCAATTTCCGTCACGAATTCACGATAGCCGCAATTTTATAAAGTTTCCATAAATAGAGGTATGAAATTAAAGCCTATTTTGTGATTATTCTTGCCATGTTATGTAATTTTGATAATCATTTCTTCAAAGTAAAGAAAATCAGACAAAATCACTGTGACTGACACGCATACAATACAGTGCATTGCCGCTGTGCGGTGTGTGTGAGTTGAGCTGAGCTGAGCTAGCCAAACTCGAGTCAAAGAGATTTGACACTTTGAAATTGTTATCTGTTGGTTTGCATCATTATTGCCGCGATTTCAATATAGTTTTGTGAATAAATGTACGAAACTTGAGCTTAGAATTAGTAAAAGTATTACTAATGTCTACGTTTTTAAACAACTGTCTGATTTTCTTGTGAAAATTTTACTTTGAAAAAAGATTATCGAAATTCATGGCCAGAAATAATCACAATCTAGGGTCTATTATGTTACACTTCTTGCATCAAATCAATGCATGAAAACTTAGTTATTGAACTAGAAAAAGGGGTTTCTTTTTTAATAGGCAATTATGAAGCAGGAGGCCCGAAACCTTAGCCTACTCAACAAATCTCAACAAACTGTAGGCTTATCCTTTTATGAATTAATGAAAAAGTAGCCCCAGAAAAAAGAGCCCCCGAAATGGAAAAAAAGAGTCCCCGAAAGTTGAAAAAGTAGCCCCCGAAAATTTCCGACAAATTTGAAATGGAGCCCCCGAAATGAAAAACTTAATTTTTTGCCTGAATAATAATGATATTCCGCTTTTATATAGCGCATAGCACGTAAACCATCTACGATGACTCTAAGCGCTTTACAGATTACCCCGGCCATGCATCTTAGATTTGTAAAACTAGAAACATTGTTAAACGATGCCTTTAAGCCATTAAAGTTGTTAACTTGAGAACAGTTGCTGATTGTTTTTAATCATTTATAGATTATAGCATGCAGTGTAAGCTTTATTTGATTATTACTTTGCCATACAGTACTTTAAGATTAACTTAAAGCATTGTTAACTTGAGAACATTACCTGATGTTGAATCTCCTCTCCTCTCTAGCCTATGATGATTTCCTTCAAGGAGCCCATGAGCACCTAGCCTACAGTGAGCTTGAATCCCAGGGTCCCATGTCACGTACCACCTTTGAGTTCCTCCTGGCCTTCGTAGCAGCCCTGCTCGGAGCGTTCATGACATTCCCTGGTCTACGACTGGCGAAGATGCATATTGATGCTCTCAAGTATAATGCTCACCTACCACATATGCAGTGAGTATTCTGTTCTATTTTATACTGTTTTCACACTGGCAAAATTTTGCCTAACCCCTGACTATAGGTTTCACTATGAACATGACTGACAAAGCAAGCGGACAAAATATACAGCTCCTCAGGTAGACAAAAGAAGATCCCTTCACTGCTATTATGTAAAAATGTGTAGAACAGGTGTCACATGCATATTCACCTTTTTACATAATGGCAGTGAAGGGATGTTCCTTTGTCTACCTGACGAACTGTATATTTTGTCCGCTTTCTTTGTCTGTCATTTTCATAGTGTTTGGTTAAAGGGGGGTCTTAGCCCCACCTATAGTCCGGGTTTAGCTTATTCCACTTTCTGTTCAGACACAAATTTACCAAAGTGGGCTAGCCCCACCTATAGTACAGGGTTAGCTGGCCCTGCAAATAAGTAGGGTTAACGCGCAATTGCGGTGCCAAGCAATTGAATAAGAACAGAAACAACAAATAGTCTGGTACTGCGCAATGGAGCAAATTTATGAATATTCATGCTATACAGCTAGTATGGGGCTAACAAATTGCAGTGAGAACACCATGAATTTTCTTATTCCGGGATAGGTGCTTAGTACAGGACTAAAAAAGCATGTGTGAAAAGCCAATAAAGTTTGTCTGGGGTAAAGGATAGTATGGAGCTAACCAAAGTACAGGGTTAAGCAAAACAAGTGTAAAAAGAGTACGATAGAGTGTGAATAAATGTTGGTTTGGTCATCAGTCATTTGTATCTCTCATTGATTTGCAAGCATTACATTGTCAGAATTCTGAGACACCAAGCTCATGATTCCATGCATAAGCTTGAAAATCACCTGCGATAATGAATGAAAGGAGATTTGAAAAGTGTTTTATGTTTAATGAAAAGAATGTGTATGTATATAAGTATTAGTGTAAATTTGTTGACACCCCATGCATGTATTGCTATTAACATGCATTTCAATGGGATGTCGATGAACTTTTAGTCTACTTATGAAACGATGCCCAGGTGTGCAAATACTCTTATTCTGTATATAGAAGATTATAAGGAGAATCATAATCGATCTTTATTTTGTGTCCATCCTTTGTATTTCAGGATTCTTCTGCATACCAGTTTCCTGTTCCCTCTACTTATTGCCCTACTGTGGGTGAAGCCAATAGCAAGAGATTATGTTAGGAGTCCTACACTCGGCAAGAAAGTCAATATGACTGGGGATGCATTGTAAGTAAAACAACGAACTCAATTTATTTTCTCATTTTGACTGAATTGTTTAGGTCTCTGTATGGTGTGTCTCATTGATCAGGCTGCGTTTTTTTATGATCTACTATAATCCTTGTGTATTTCATTGCCCCCTGTTTAGTTGTTATTTTTGTTAAAACTGAAATATGATGCCTTTTCCCTCCCAATTCGACTCAAACAAGCATTTGTTGTGTATGACTTTCTGCTGTCCCCAAAATTTTGTCGCATTACACCTTTTCATCTGCAATATTATTCCACTAAGTCTGTAAAATTCAGTTAGAAAACGAATCAATGAAAAACATATTACTTACATATCAGTACTAATAAGTAGTTCTTCTTGCTCTATAATTAACTGATATTTATACTACCTGAATATGTATCTGGCTTATAATAGCTATTGTGCATCTCTTTCTCTCTCTCTCTCTCTCTCTCTCTCTTTTTGTTTTTGTCTTTGTCTTTTTCTTTTTCTCTCTCTCTCTATTTCTTTTTCTCTTTCTCTCTCTCTCTCTTTTTCTCTTTCTCTCTCTCTCTTTCTCTCTCTCTCTCTCTCTCTCTCTCTCTCTTTCTGTTTCTCCCTCTCTCCCTCTCATTCAGAATGAGTGATGACACGTTTGACATTGTTCGGATCAGCTTCATCCCCCTGTTTGCCCTGATCCGCCTAGCTCTGATGACGCAGTACCTACAAGCGTATCTCAATATGGCTCACGAGAGAATAGAACAAATGAGGAAAGAGGCTGGAAGGATCAACAGTCTTGATCTGCAGAAAAAGGTGAGAGGGAGAGGAAGAGGTTGGGAGAGATGTCTGTATGCGGTTGATTGTAGGGCTGGCAATCGTCTTGAATCAGAGCTAGAAAATATGTACATGCGAGAAGAGTTAGATAAAAGAAAAAAGAGGAAGACGCGAGTGTTTAGGGAAACAGAAATGTAAAAAATAGATATATTTTTGCTTTTGGAATGAGAGACGACTTGAAATTGCTTGGAAGATACAAATAAACAAGTTGATGGTAGAATGGAATAATATTTTATTTATTTATAGTTTTAAAAATTCCATTGTGCTATGATTTGATTTATATTTCATTTTGGATTTGACTATAGTTTCCAAGTATAACCTCTTTGTATTTCAGTATTCAGGTATACAAGCAATGGTATTTCATAGCAATGCTTTAAATATTCTTATTGCAAAAGTGTTGATATATTTTGCTTGTGTGCTTCTTTGTAATCTTAACTCAGTGAAATCAATCTTTATTATTCAATTTTTATAGGTAATCCGAGTCTTCTATTATCTGTGTGTTGTGGCACTCCAGTACATCGCACCAGTTATTCTTCTCTTCTGCTTCAGTTGCCTATTAAAAACATCAGGTAAGAATCTTAGAGCTTATCTTTTGCTCAGTATGTCTTTTGGGGGTTAGCCTACACCTCAATTAATGATATAGCCATTTCTAACCACTACATTATAAATAATGATTTTTGTGAATTTAGATAAGGTTTGTAAACCTGCATTAGTCGATCATCTTACAGAGAGAGAGAGAGAGGGGGGGGGGGGATTGGTCATACTCTTTTCACTTAAAGGTCAATCCAATGCTTGTAATAAGTTCATTTGTATGAATGCAGAAACAGAAGATAAACGAATGGCAAAAGTTTGAAATAAATCGGACCAATAATAAGAAAGTTATGAATGTTTGAAATATGAGATCAACACAGTTTTACAAATCTCAAATTAGCAGTTTGGTCAGTGGATTGTGACGTTGTCGCGGATAACTCTCCCATTTGTTGTGTGAAAAACTAAAAATAGGAAGAATTTATTGAATCCAGTTGTTGGGGAGTAATAGATTTCGAATTTTATATGTGATACTGAGAATTGACGGTTATAATAAGTCCAAGACACCATAGGGCCTGTATTGTAAGATTTAAAATGTAAGTGTAGTCCATGGATGGTGCCAAGTCTAAAATGAATAAAATTTCCAAGTGGTGTTCACTGTAATGCCTCATTCCTTTAAGAATTGAATGATTTCTTTCTCCTTCAGCTGGGTACTCGTATGGAGTCTTTGACCACTTCCAATCAAACGCTACAAATGCAAGTGCAACAGCAGTGCCACACCCTTCACCATCACCCTCATCATCCTCATCATCCTCATCATCGTCAACGATCGCAGACGACGTAGCAGCGTTCGTGAACCCTGTGCGTGAAGCCAAAGCCCAGCTCGCGTTCGCTTTATCAGTCCTTAAACACGTCTTCTCTCCCGTCTTCTTCAAAGGCATCTTTTCCTTCTTGATTTGGTGGGTTTGTGTGACCTGGTTCATCACCAGTTCCTTTGGTCTGGCCTTCCACTCCTATGTCTCTACTAACAGCTAGTTATCATAAACCTCAAGTCTAGTCCATTTATTTATTCATGTTTTTTGTGCCAAGCCAAATTTTCAGGCGGGTTTCAGATCGTTGATATGTTATGATTCATCATTCATGTATTGTTATGTTATGTCTTCTACTGTTATTATGATCAGTAACAAAACATTAAATGATAGCTCATCAACCTGTAAACCACTTAAAAAAATAAAACAAGGCTGTGGCAAAATAAAACATTCATTGTGTTAAAAAATGGCAAGTAAGGGTAACTGAATGTAGATTCAGGTAAGATCAGGATTATGATGTAGTAAAAAGTAAACTTCTTTTCTAGACTTAACCCAATAAGTCTGTGTTATGGAAGGCAGTGGAGATTATACATTTGATTAAGTGTATACATACAAACTATACTGAAATATATTTTGCTTGCCCAAGGCATATAAGATATTTAAAAGTCATTGTAAGATGTATTTTTTTCATTGGAGCTGAGCCTTTCTTTCTTTGACGGTTCTGGGGGGTGTTTCACAAAGACTAAGACTGACTTTAAGTTTGACTTAAATATGGCAGGCCATTCATGCCACTGGTTGCTCTCATCATTGGTCTCTCAACTATGATCTTTAGATATTATTTTTTTCCTTCAATCATGAGCTAACAAATCAGGTACATTCTGTAGATTCGTGACCACGATTTGTATGTCCCTTGAGAAACCAATGCCAGGAATAGTTAGAGGAACTAGTGGCATGAAAGGCCTGCCATAGTTAAGTTCAACTTAAAGTTGATCTTAGTATTTGTGAAACACTCCCCTGGTTTTTCTGAGTGGGACAGTTTGAATAGTTGGAGGAAAAGACTGCCATCCCCTCTACATGGTATGGTGTTGTGACAATGATGTGTTCTGTGCACTGTCCCTAGAAGGTATATGGTATCTGTCAAACAGTTAAACGGATTCCAGACCGACCGATTCTTTTTCATTTAGGGTAATGTCATTTCTTTTTGGGTCTGTTGTCAAGCTGGTCTCCGTCTTGTTTGTGTGACATGGGTATTAACTCAATCACTGTTCTCGTGTTTTGGGAATGTACGAATCCGATAAACCGGTTTACTAACATATTCAAATTCTATGCATACTTTTTAAACAAAGGTTGTTCTTGACAACCTGAAAGCTTGCCCAAGGCTTTCTGACATAGCAACATATATTGTATGCAGAATGGATTTTCAGTGATGTAGTTCATTCATTAATAACGGTTTAATGGAATAGCTCGTCACTAGGTCCCCAGGAAAGATATATCCGTATATTTGAATATGTTAGTAGAAAAGTAAACCTTTCTATTGAAATTTATATCAGAGATGAGTGTACTTTTTCTAAACCTGATTTATTATTCTTGTACCTCATTTTACTTTGTGAGATCATGTATTCACAGTTGTGCAAGAAATTGTTTTTTTGTACAACTTTGTAATTATCGGTGAAGGTTAGATGACATAACTTCTTGTGGTATTTTCTTGATACTTGTTGAAGCTAGATTGAAGTGTATAGCAAACAGTTAGTTAAATGATCTGCAGTGAATTTAGCAGTGTAGATTTTGTCGGTGTGCAATATATATTTAGCTCAAAAACAGTAAATTGGTCACTTCTTTACCACATAGCATTATACTTGCCCAGTTGCAGGTGGGTTTTTTTGCCAAAATATTATTTGGATATACACTGACTGGACATATTGATTTTCTAAGCCCTTTTGCTACGAACTTTGTGAATCATCACTACGAACGCATTTAGAGGTTGGAATGTAATTTTGACAATCGTATCCAAAGTATTTGAAATCAATTTGAAGATATTTGCATGGTGCTTTTTTTTCTGTTGATATAGACTGCTAATATCATGCAATGAATTTGCACATATTATAGCTTTCTGTTGAAAGTAGACTACCTCCATGTTCTACTGTCTTTATGACTTACATTTTGACTGGTCAAAGCCAAACGAAATGGCCGAAGAATGTAAGTGAGGTCTAGAAAAAGTTTTGAAATTATGTATAAAAGCATAACAAGTTCAACAAATGATAAAAACAATAAAAAAGAAATCTTGGTGCACAGAGACACTTGCTACGGTACAGGATACCAGTATGTACCTTTTGTATTTAAAATTATAGGAATGAAAATTGTTACTCATCATTATAGACCAGGGATCCGTTTCACAAAGCCTTTTTTCGATGACAAATGACAAAAATCAGTGACAAATCTGCTGATAACCAATCAGGAGCAAGGATTTCACTAGCTTATAACAAAAATTGTCATTTGTCACTTATGACAAGTTTTGTGAAATTGGGGCCCAGGACTGTGTGCACTTTTGAACAGCAGGGTATTTTCATCATAGATCAAATACCATAGCTTCAATGTATAGATATGAATTAGAATATTCAAAGCTATGCAAAATTCTCAAATGGAAACTTTCACTTGTAATGTGAAAGGAAAGCTATCAGTCTTAGTATTTAACATCATGAAATTCCTTGTCAGGGAATGTGAGATGTACTTAATTGGAACGATTGGTTTGTTATCTGTTTTCAATAAATCTTGAGTGAAAAACTTGATTCTAGTACTGTGTGGTGCATTTATGTGAATAATTTAAGAGTCTTGCATACAATTTTGTATTTACACTATGAACATGACCGACAAAGAAAGCGGACAAAATATACAGTTCCTCAGGTAGACAAAGGAACATCCCTTCACTGCTATTATGTAAAAATGTTTAGAACAGGTGTCACATGCATATTCACCTGTTCTACACATTTGTACATAATAGCAGTGAAGGGATGTTCCTTTGTCTACCTGAGGAACTGTATATTTTGTCCGCTTTCTTTGTCGGTCATGTATGTGAGGTACAGTATTGCTTGGAATAAAGTTGACAGTCTCAACCTGTGTCACACGTGACCGCATGCATTTTCCCATAGACCTTGGTGTGACTTGGTGGTAATGTGTCTACTTTATTTCAAGCACTACTGTATAGTAAGTTTAGAGGACTCTTTGACAATATTGAGCAAATGAGAATTGTTGGATTGTATATGTATTTGTTGTGCTATAAAATCAATGGGGTGGTGCTAAAAGTAGGTCTCCGGTCTGTTTTAGGGCAAATCACAGGCTTAATCACGTACCCGGAAAAATCCCCCCCCCCCAGGACTATTACCGCCGGGAACATTACCCCCTAAGGACCATAACCCCTACAAATTATCCCCCCCCCCCCCCGTTCATTAAAGGGGAAGTAATAATTTGGTTTTAATAAAAGCATATTTTTTCCGGGTGGGGGGGGGGGGGGGGGGGGTGGGGTGATTCTCTAAGGGTGTAGTTTTCAGGGGGGGGGGGGGGTTAATTGTCATGGGGTAATTGTCCTGCTGGTAATTGGTTGGGGGTGATTGCCCAGGGGGTAATTGTCCTAGAATCGCTTAATCACAATGAATGTACACTTTTCACTTCAGATTCATGGAACGAAAATGCATGGTTACCTTCAATCTTGAATTTTCAGTAACAATCTCAATTGTTCACTTTGACTGTGCTGTCGAATGATGATATTACCCCTAATGTATAGACATAGAATTGGCCAACTCAAACACACCATGGAAGTAAACCCGACACTGGGTCTGATAAGTTTAACAAGGATAATTTAGATCCTTGACGATCTTCAGTTCTTAAGCCCGTCTGCACTAGTTTGGCCAGGAGGGATTAGAGCACCCAGCGAGGTCACTGACAGGTGGCTATCTCATCAACTCAGCTCTCAAATAACATAAGAAATAGAGGGTCATGGGGGACCAACGGGTACCGCTTAGGCATTGTGTGCTATATAGAGGGCGCAAGTAGCTACAAGTAGTGCAGTCCCGCTTTCAACAAAAGGCAAAACCCACAATCTGGTTTAAATTTTGATAGAATATGGACTCGTTTATTTTTAGGGCACATCATCCCTGGTAGCAAGCTGCTTCGAATAGAAGCAGGAAAATATGGAAACTGGTGAAAATTTAAACGAAGTCGGACAACTGAAAAAAGTTATGAATGTTTGAAACTTTAAGATACGTTCATATATTTGAATCTCAGGTATTAAATGGTAATGTCATTGTGATGTAATGACTGGCAACTCTCCTATTTGTTTATGTAAGAGGACATAATATAACAGCACAATATAATACAGCCTTGAAAGATAAGGACAGCCTCGAATGAAAAGTTTTGATGTCTTGTACAGCTTAATAACACTCGAGTAATCGTATTACCAATGTCCTAATTTTAATTATTACCAATGTCCTAATGTCCTAATAAGATTTTCATGTTTTCAGGATCTCTAATTTCAAACATTCATAAACTTAGCAATCTGTTTTACGATTTTGCTTTCATAACGAGCAAGTTATTCAAAGTTATATTGCCCTTGTCAACTTTAAGACAAACTACACGTCAACTCGTTCAATTGTACAATTCCAGTCATTTAATTTCTTATATTTTTTTTCAAACACATCAAACAAATTTGATAATTGATAGAGAATAATAATGAATATATTGCACTGCCACTTAATTGAAATAAGATACAAAGCAATGTTTTCTTTTTACATGTTTAAATTCCAATTTCGATGGATTAATCTTTCATTTTATCCTTAGCGAATCCAAATGAGGAATTTGTGACTTATTACGATTTATAATGCAAATAATTAAACCTCTTCGTTATCTTTCAATTTAGAGAAAGGATTTAGGGGAAAACAGATGCAAAGGAGATGGAAATTAAGCAGTAGGATACAACCCGCCAAGATAATTTAATAAATAAATATTCATGACACAGCCTCTTAATGACTGAAAAATGGATATCAAAGTTTTCAAAACCTCATCTATTTCATGTACAAATGTATCAAAACCTTCACTACAAAAATCCATTGTAAAAACCATGCTCTTCAAACTCACATAAAAAATAACGTTCTTTCCTCACTTCTAGATTCGCTATTGTCAATCTCTCTTCATTTTCTTATAAACTATTTTATTTAGATGCAATAGATGATGCTACTAGTTGAAATTCACAGGTATTAACTTAAGCTCTACAAATATGTTGTCCTTAAGATGTTCAGACTAATGACCCGTGAGATGGCGAGAAGACTGTAAAGCTTTCGGTATTTTTCCAGACGATAATAATTTGTAAAAGACTGAATTGATCTCTACTCTTCTTCCGCCTTATACGTGAAACTTCCATCAGTTATGACAAATGACAATAAATGTGTGTAGATAATGGGAAAACTAAATTTTAAGGTTTTATAAAATTGTATTTCAAGTCTTGAAGGAGATTAAACCGAATCTCTTGTAACAATGGGTGCATCATAAACAATTATTTGATAATTGATATTGATTTGGAGTAGGCACAGTACATTATTATACAATTCATTTAGCGTCATTCAATCAAATTCCGATAACCTGCCCATCAACAAATAAATGCAAACTACTCTATTTCTAAAATATCTACTTTCAAGTTGAAATTTCGTTCCTTTTTAGAGGAAATTCAGAAAAGCAACAACTCGATCAAGATGGAATTTTCGAACGGGAAATACCGTTGAATCCGAAGCAAATAGCTGAATCAAAATGTATACTACTTTAAAATAGTGGTGGACAAAAGAAAGTTATATCATTACTAATTACAAAGATACAAATATACAAAAACAACGTGAAAATAGATTGTAGTAATATTTACAACATTTCACAATTGTTTCAATGACTTCGTAAGTCCTTCAAATCAGTTGAATATGATATGAGTCTTGCTAGAGAACACACTATATGGTATAACATATCCAATCAATTTTACTTGGCGAGCAGATTCATATATTATTAAAAATACAATAGTGTAACATATAAACTATATGTACTATATGTGTAATTTTCTGTTTCATCACTCGGCACTTCAAACTGAAATAATGATTAATGGATCAGAAGGAAAATGTATGTCTAAATGTGGAAAGTTCGAGCATTTATACTTTTATCAAGTTGGCCTATTTTGCATCTTTAACAATGCTACGGTGTAAATGCAAAATTGCATAAGACGGTCATGATCAAAGATACAAAACTTGGCAAGTCTAATTCCATGAAATGCTATACGAATTACCTACTCCGTCATACTGATGCGATCATCAGATTGTCATTTTTCTGTGTGTGCAAATGGTCTTTATCGAAGTTCATCAGTAAAAACTCATTATCGATATGTACGTTTATAGACAGACCTTGCCATCTGAAAGACACTACTCGGGTTCGAACTGTAGTCCGTCACAGTCGGTTTGTAAGCGAAGCCAGATAGCTGACCACTCGACCAACTTTGGTCTTCATTTTTGCTTATAGATCCACATACATTTGCATGGGCCATTTTCATCCATGTTTTGTTATGTTCTACTTTTTAATCTGATTTTAAGGAATTTTACATCTTTGGGACCGATCCAGGTTTATTTTCCAAGGCAGGTATGTGCCCGGAATCCTTGACAATGTCTTACAAACTATGAACAGCCCAAAAGAGAAGAAAAATATTCCAAGATATAAACGGGGGCAGGAGAGAAGGGGTGGGGAGGGGGTGAGGCGGGGAGGTGGGCATGTGGCAAATTCTGTTAGAGACACGACCCCTACCCCGTTGTGCTCCTCTTACTCTGACCGCCTTTCTCTCTTAAGGAAAACTTTATAAAACTGGACAATTGTTTAACTTTTGACGGAGTAGGTAACTAAAGCGAAACGCTGAAATATCTAACAGTTTTACGCCTTCCTCATTTGCGTTTTAATTTCTTGAGTTGCTTGGCGATCCTTGCTAGTTCTTGCGTAACGTCATCTGTATCTCCTCGTTGTGTGGATCCCGATTGCTTGGTCTTTTTACTTGAAGATTTGCCTGGTGGGAAAAGGAAAAGAGTCATTAAAGGGATATCGAATATTTTTAAGAAGTTGAACATGGACTGTGCTAAAACAGGAAATCTAAGAAACACGTCGATGAAAGTGTGGAGGGAATCAAAACGAATTGTTTAAAAGATATAATTGCTTGAATGGTTAAATAACTAAATGTACCGTTTAAAACGTATGGAAGTTTCTTTTAGAGAAAAAGACTATTAGGCATCGTTTTCACGGAGATATCATTCTATGCTTCCAAATGCCTCTTACAATATTCATCCTTTAAAAGTATAACATCTCAAATATAAAATGTCAAAAGAATTCTTCCAAACGGAATGAGCATCATATTAACTACATGAAAATGTATGTGTGCCGATAAACTTTAAACAAGAGAATGATAAATCTTCATAAACAATGCACTCGCATTAAAAGTTAACGGCCTTACCGGATTTTTGCTTGTACTTTTTAAGTTGTGACATGAGTTCGTTGACTATGCTTTCCACCGTGTCGTCATCGTCATCAGAATCGCTGTCGCTATCACTATCATCAGTATCTTTGTCATCGTCGCTATCAGAATCGCTATCTTCATCTGTGTCGTCAGTGTCTGTGTCGCTCTCGGTATCACTGTCGGTGTCACTGTCGGTATCAGTGTCATCGTCGGAATCATCGTCATCCTCCTCATCAGATGTATCATCACTGTCTGTGTCACTGTCATCGT